AACTGGGGACAGGGAACTGGGGACAGGGAACTGGGGACAGGGAACTGGGGACAACTGGGGGCAGCTAACTGGGGACGGGGAACTGGGGGCAGGGAACTGGGGGCAGGGAACTGGGGACAGGGAACTGGGACAGGGAACTGGGCCCGGGGGACCTTCGTAGGGGCTTAAGGGGGGTTTAAGCCCCCTTCGAAGGGGGGCTTAAGGGAGGCTTAAGGGGGGCTTAATGGGTGCTTAAGGAGGGCTTAAGGGGGAGTTTGAAGGGCGGGCTTAAGGGGGGGCTTAAGGGGGGGCTTAAGGGGGTGCTTAAGGGCGGGCTCAAGCTTCGGCACCTTCGGCGGGGAGGGAGGGGAGCTTTGTAGGGGCTTAAGGGGGGGCTTAAGCCCCCGCCGAAGGTCTCGGGCCCAGCCTCATGATCGCCGTATTGCGCGCCATCCATCAGAATCCATTGCAAAGTTGGTGGGGCTTGGCGCATTGACGAGAGTTTCAACTCTGATGTCAAAACCACAAAATACTCCATGAGTCGTGGAGATGAGGCGCGTGGCCGATCAAAAGGGAGAGAAGGTGCTTCGAACTCCTCCTTCAACTCAACCCTTTCGAATCGCTCGAAGTGAGCAGACTGACGAAAAAAAAAGAGACCGACAGCATGCTCCGCCTGCGTCCAAAACGTCAAAAACCCCAGTCGGTTTTGTGCTCCTCGGCACCTTTGCATGTTTTGGACCGCGCTCTAAAGGAGCGGAGAAATCAGAGCTACAACACGCGCACGTGTAGAAGAGAGTTCACGTGCTCGTTGTCCGTCACCGGTGGTTGCAATGCACATTGTCCACAAAACCCCCTCCGCAACCTCCTCCACAACCTGCTCCAGAACCGGCAACTGGAGGGGATGGAGCAAATGGAGCGGATGGAGCGCATGGAGCGGATGGTGCGGATGGAGCGGATGGAGGGCGGAACGGGATGGAGTGCATGGAGCGGAGGGAGCGGGTGGAGCTGACGAAGCGCATGAAGGGGACGGCGCGGATGGAGCTGGGTGTGTTCTTCTCATGACCCAGGTTTCGTGCTCACAGCCTGTCACGATCCATTCGGAAGAATCCAATGTTTCCGTAATCGTTTTTTAAACGCAAAACAGAGCCACAACCCGGAGTGCACAACCCCGCCGCCACGAAATCTGCACTTTCGCACCATTCCCTGCACCTGCCACAAATCATTTCTTTTTGAAGGATCCTCCCCAAATACCACGAAGGTTCCCACGTGGCGTCAAACCAAACTCATTGTTCTTGCTGAAGCCACGAAATCTGCACTTCTTGCGCCCAGCCCTGCGGCTGCTGGCTGGGGCGATGTTTTGCACTAATCAGTTTATACAGCTCATAGACACGGCTACTGCATTGTGTTTAAAGTGGGCGGCTACATCCATCCGTTCTATGGTGCTGGCACCTTAAGGTTTTTCGGTTTGTGGGATGTATGGCGTACCAGAAGCGACAGCCTCACAGCAACAGCTTGAGGATGCTGAAGTGAAGGGTTCCACTCGGTCTCAGACTGCAACTTTGCAGTTCAAATGACTCAGTGACAAATCGTGTTCAATCAGCAACTAGTTGTGGTGGGGCTGTTGCAAGCAAGCATGTTGTTGTCGCTGTCCGTGGGAAGCGCCCAGTGCAAGAGTTTCCCGCAGCTTGTTGAATCTCCATTCGGCCGCGCTTGTGCGATGGCCGCTGATGGTCCGAAAACGACTGCATGGGCAGAGGCGGACGGCAACCCAACCTCACAGGAACAAGTTGACCCAGACTCCTTCAGCTTCCAAGAAGAGGAGGACTTCGAAACAATTCCTTGGTCAGTGAACTACGTGCTGATTTGCATCTTGCTTCCGACTTTGTGCGGATGCCTTTCCACATTTGGTTGGGCAGGACCGGCTGTCTGGTCGTTTGGTGTGAAAGGGAGTGGCAAATGAAGGTATGAGGGTATGAATGAATGAAAACAGGAGGTGCACAGGCAATGAAATGCTTCCATGACTGTCCTTGTTCAGTACCCGGTTTATCTTCATTCCTGGGAGAAATCAGCAGAGACAAGACTCACGCGGACACATGTATGTATGAACAATGGTTGTACTCAAGCATTTTTGGTGCCATATCACTTTCTGGAACGCTTTCCTTTAGGGGTGTGCTTAAATACTTCATCATGAACGAAATTGTGGGTTTTTCCTGCACGAACGCGTCGTCAATCCCCAGCTTCATTGAGCAGCTTCGTCACTTGATCAGCTTTGAGTTTCGTCACCTGTTTGGTGGCACAGTAACAGGGACGCTATTGCAAGTAGGTTGGAGGCCATCGCTACGAACGTAACAAGAAGCTACTAGCAACAAAGCTGAAAGGCGCTTTTCAAGACGTGTCTGGCACGAGTGACGCGTCACTCGTCTCGTCTTAGAGACGAGAACTTCGCGGCCCTGTCACGCCAGGATTCAGTTTGTATGTCCGCAGCCAGGGTTGGGACATGCAGCTTGCGGGAGTGCTGGTGAGTGTGGGTTACTTAGCGCGCTTTTTTGCACAGCAAGTGTCTTGGAAACGATCTATGCCGGGGGAACGGGGGACTGGAGACCAGAATGATGACCGAACGAGAAACAATGACTAGGTGCTGGACCGCCCCAAAGTGTAGCGACCCAACGAGGGTTGACTCAGCTTTTCATCAAAAGTCAATGTGCGGCACAGGCTAACGGCTCTAACGGCTAACATCATAGATTCTTGGAGAGATGCACCGGACCTGCTGCTATGTTGCTCTTCCGAAGCAAAAAGAAGGGTGGATTTCCGATTTCCATGTGGAGAAGCAGGTGTGCATGCGATGCGGGAGCCCGCAAGACTGGTTTCGCACGGGTCCCCATGTGTCGAGAAGGATGTCACGCTCCGACTCAGGCGATTTTCCGCTTTGGCCTTTGGACGGCTTTGCCCCTGAGTTTGCTACACCTGCTGTTAGCTATCTTTGGCCTCGTCTTCCTTGACCAGGCATGAGTGACATGTTTAGCAGGTGTGGTGAACAACTCCGACCACCTTTGGGGTGGGCCTTCATGCATAGGATTAAGCCAAATTGGACGCCAAGTTGGTCTCAACATGATACTCTGAGGTACCAGCAATCCCGGAATATTTCGATGAGGGGACGACACTGTGAAAAGAGACGATGGAAGGTGAAGCCAATGGTTTGAAGCAGCACCAGGAAGCCAACGCTTTGAGCAAAGCTGGGAAATGTGAACACATGCAACATGGGTGCAATTGGCCAGTCGCCAATCCCACATGACCAACTCATAACTCCAAAGGGCTCAACAAAGCATATGACCTGCTTCCGGAAGATGCGGAACGCTGCGGAACTGAATTTGTGGCGTCAGAGTGTTCGACTGACCAAGTAAAAATCCGTAGCTGCAGCAAATCTTTTGAGCACGTTTTTGTGGGTGTACAATGCCGCTGGTTGTAAACTTGCGACCGCAGGCATGGGCAGTGTATGGCGAAGTAGCTGCAATGCTTGCATTTGATGTTCTTGTTGTGGTTGATGCTTGACCCAATGTGTTCAGATGCTAATACTAGAGAGGACCATGGACCCTTGTTGAACACTCACAGACTCAAGCAAGCCACACGCAAAAATAGAGCACCCTAACTTTGGTGACTAAGTTATTTTTCTTTGTGTGACTTTTGCATCGTAAGCTGTTTTGCCAGCTTTGCCAAGAGCTTCTTCCGTGCCTCAGGAAGGCGTCACCTTCGAAGTGTGGTCGGACTCGGAGGTCATGGTGGCCCAAGCGCAGTCCACGGTCCTTTCGGTGTATACGTTTCTCGCAATTGAGACCAGTTTCTTTCTTTTCACATAGGTTTTGGTGGGACGGGAATGACAGGAATTGCGGTGTTTTCCAACGGTTTTGGGGTTGCTTGGCACGCAACGAGGCTGGCCTACGCAAGTGCCGCACCTTGCTCAGAACTTGTGACTGTCTTTCCTTTGTTGCGGGAGAACAGGCAACGCGAGTGCCGCACTTCAGGCAAAGGTTTTTCATGGCTACGGCTCAAGTGCTTTGACCAATCATCTCGACACAATGAGAGGGGTAGGGACGCGAAGACTCAGATATGATTAGCTGGGAACATCTCTCCACAGGGAGCACTGAACAAGCCGATGAAGAACTTCAAGGCATTTGGATGAAACGAAGCAAGCCAGGCACGAGCAGGGTGGAAAATCCATCCCTTGAAGGCTTGATGCCTCCGATTTCCAACACTAGCTGCAGGGTAGCAGGGTGGGCGGTAGCACTTAGCAGGTCTTCTCCAGCTAAACATTCTTCTCCAAGGATGTGAGTGGGATTCTGCAGACAGCTCAGGTGGCGGTGCAGGTTGAGAGCTAGTGCAGTTCCTTCTGCTTACTACTGTTTCTCAAGCCTGACAATAGGGACAGACACCACTTGGATGGCCGTCAATGCACCAAGGCACCACACACTAGGATAAAGGGAACTCATTTGAAACAGCCTCATAGTCCACCAGCAAAAGAAGCAACAGCGCCACATCAATCGGGGAAATTGTGGGTATGCCAGGATGGCCAATCCTGATGTGCTCCGACTAGCTCCGTTGGGCGTAGTTGTTTAAGCACGCTGCACCCCTGCTGTTCAAAATTGTATCTTAGAAGCTGGAAACCTGGTGAGTGATAAATCGCTCCTTAGATTGAAAGACTGTTTTGCAAGCCATCAAAGCAAGAAAGGCGATCAGCATGAGGCGTTTACGGCGCAAAGCAGAGGGTTCAAGTTGCTGAGGGGTGAGTATAGCTAGGAGCGTGTTTAGTACCTAATAGCTACTAACTACTAGCCTTTCTTGATTAAGTAGGCGCCAACTGAAGTAAGTAAGGAGGCAGGGCCATTTCTTTGCAGCTCAAAAAACCACGCCAAGTCGTGAGACACCAAGTTGCGAGAAACACACGTTTTCAGGCTTGTTGCAAGTTGCGAGAAGGGCAGGCAGCGATTTAGAACGGACTTTTGCATGTGTTTGGCCACATCGATCTCTTCCAAACGAGGCAACACTGGGAGGCCTTCTATATGATGCAGCGAGCTGGGAGGGTATTGCCATCTATCATGTTGCTGGCCTTATTGTGGAAGTGCTTGTGCTGGTGGCTTGTCAGCATGTTGCTTGAAAAGCCCTAAAAAACAGTTTCGGACTCTTGCGTCGTTTTCGAGCCCCACTGCTTCGTTGGGCAGAGCTTTCCAACGAGCCTTCCCAAGCAGCAAAACCGTTGGGACGGCGCTTTTTTTTCCATCGTGGCTTGTTGCAGGCCATCCAGCCGGCGGTCCACAAGTCCTTTCGAGAGTTTGTGGGTTGTGGTGCTGCAATCGATAAGACTGATGAGGTTCGGCCATTCTCAGGCAGGGTCCAGGGCTACAAAAGTCCGACAGGTGCCTTCTCTTTTTAACATCATAAGGATCTTCAGCCACTTCACCAGTGCCATGGTTTTTGAAATCGCCTTCAGTCCCTGGATGTTCATGCTCTCGCGCGTACTCCCCGGGCTCCAGGGGCTCCACCGGCTCAGGCGCCACTGCCATTGTCCCGACGGCATCGGTTGCATCTCAGAATCCCACACCCGAGTCACAGAGAGGGCAATCTTTGAGCCTGCCTGGCATGGTGGAGGGCCTTGCCAAGAGACAGGCTGACGGGGGGGATCTCGGGACGAGCCTTGTAAAAGGTCTTCGTGGGTTGATTGATAGAGGGGAGACCTCCCCCAAACCAAGTGCGGTCTATTATGGGTTATTTGGCACTGACCCGATCTGTTCCGTTCGAGCAGACGTCATTGCGACTGTCGCATGAACAGCGTCGCTAGGCGTCGCTTGGACAAGGCTTCGTGTCGCTTCCGTCGGGGTGACCAGTGGGCATGACAAATCCATCCAAGCTACAAGAACGGTTATAGTCAATACCTCATTTGTGACATGCTCCCAATGCTAAGACGTTTTGCATCTTACGCTCCCGAGGGCGTACTCAAGTAATCTGAAGTATGTAGAACAAATCAAGGGAGTGTATGGCCCTGCATCGGCCCTGATGCCTTGCTCGAACCAAGTTCCTTGGATGCTGATTCTGCCTTCAGGCAACCTGACAGTCTGCTGAAGCACGATAGCTGGATATCAGCCACGACAGTCTGCCAAGTTGGTCAGGAAGAATTCCTCCGTCTTGCCTCTGCTTCTTCCTACCTGCCGGAACTTCCGACCTGCTCAGACACCCGACCGACCGACCCACTCGACGACTTGGACGACCTACCCGTGACCTCGTCTGATGGACGGACCAGCGCAGCAGCAGAGAGTGCGTGGTGGGCTCGTTGCGTTTGGTTGATTCATTTGTTGGGTTGCAGCCAGACCCCCAAATAGATAGAGGTTCGTAGATCCCCATGTAGAACATGGACACTGTGCCACGGTCATCTATTTGGGGACCACTATAAACCTCAACAGATGGCTGAACTTCTGTGGGGCTGCTGACAAGACGTGGCACTCAGGCAAGCCTGACTAGCAGGCGTCTCTCGCATGCTGTGAACCTACAACAACCATGCAATACAGAGTCCAGTTTTGCACAGCTTCTCAATTCTTCATTCGTCTAATAAGAGATTTAGCTTTCGGCAACCAGATAGCTTTCGGCAGCAGAAAGAGATCTGGAATCTTGCCACTGCCACTACGCTTAGTCTCAGATGGACCGAGGGACAGGCTAACTTCCACCGACATCTCTCTACTGCATCCGACTAGCCGAGTTTGAACAGCACAAGCACGCAGACACAGATACCGAACCCAGTCACAAATCTTGGAGGCAAGAAAGCAGTACAGGCAGCCAGGCAGCTGCGGACACTAGGACTAGGAATGACCAATCTTGTATGAAGCAGCGAGTCTCCTGCGCACGAGTTTTTTGCCTGCGATACATCTGGGTCGGCGTCTTGTCGCAATACAATATCTGGTGGTCCAGAAGCACCCCATGATCCCATGTGCATAGATGCCTTTGGTCGAACCACAATATCTGTAAAGTTTGAGGAAGGCTCGGCTTGGCCTATGAATTCACCAACTCGATTCAGATGCTTCCGCTTCAACACCGTAGCCTTAGCCGCCGCCTGTCCTTGTTTCTCACAGTGACGAAGACCTGGGGTCTTCTCTTTAGGTCATCCGACCTGGCAACCTCCGCCCCAGCCCGCCCAGAAAGCCTGTGAGATCTCGGTTGAAACCGAACGAATTATGCCGTGTCTTTCAAACATAAGGCCATTTTTCGCAAAGAACATGTCTTGGACACCGCATCCACATGACTGAATTGAAGTGCATGTGTTGAGACATTCGAAACTTGCTGGCCAGGCCAAAAAAGGGTGCGAGGGTGAAGCGAGGATTGAACTGAATTGATGATTTTCCTTCCTCGACTGTGAGACTGTGAGGTGAGCCATCCAGACTCAGAGGAAGGCACACCAACGCGTGGTGCAAACTCAGTGGACACAAAGCGTGTGCAAGGAGGCTGGCCGTGCGAGCAGGGTGGTTGCTGCAGGTTTTTGCATTTCGTGGGGGTTTGGGTTAAGTATGGTGTGGTGGTGTTCACAGGCTGCCTTGCCATCGGCTGATGTTTGCACATGTCGCACAGACAGACGCGGCGAGACTTGGCATCGCGCGGATGTTTTGAGCTGCGATTCTCAGTTTGTACGCCGATGTCCTTCAAGCGCTTGCGATTGCGCAGGAGACGGTGAGGCAAACAGAGGCAGCATGGCCAGTCAGGCAAACAGAGGCAGCATGGCCAGTCAGGCAAACAGAGGCAGCATGGCCAGCAGGCAACCTGGCAGCTTCAGCCGACTTTCGATGTTTTGCATTGTTTCATTCGTATTAAGATGTTCAATCCCTGCTGCTGTGCTGCAGTGCTCAGGATGAGTGAGCACGGTGGCCACGCAAGGGGCAGCATAAGATCTCGTTTGACCACGCGGTCGGCTCACACGTAGCTCGGCAGCATTTTGAAGTCCTTGACTTGAAGCAGGCATGGGCTCACGCCGATCTGCAACGAAATTCGGGCAAAGGGAAGCAAACGCCCTTTGCCTTCTCCGAGTGGCACTCAAGAAGGAAACCAGCCAGAATGAAATCAGCTCAAGCAGGACTTGCCAAGGTAGCTCTCCCGTCCAGCTCATGTCACAGGTTTCATACTCTCAGCAAAAGCAAGAACATCTCTTTATGTTGTAGAAAGACCTGTGACCCCCACCCAAACGATTTGGCACATTCAGCATGGCCCAAAAGGGCGAGTTTTAGAAATTCGTGGGCTAACCAGGGCGTGACGATGTGGTTGGCACCGCTGCTCCAAATAGGAACGTCCACCAAAGATCTGCATCAACATAAACTACCAGCTTCTTCAGTTCGTGACCTCTTTGGAGTCCCGACACCTTTTACAGGTTCTTTTGGGGTATCAAGTTCGGTTGCAAAAGGGAAGAACCAGGTGGAGACATTCTTGCTGATGTGTTTGTCTTCGAGGTTCGTGAGATACACCCTTTTCCCCCCCACAAGGTCACCGAGATTTCCAAAGGTAAACGAGAAGCAAGGGCAAAGGAGAACCAGGGGTGTATGTTCTACACAATTCTTTTGAAACATGAACATGTCACCCTAGCGCGAAACACGTGTTTTTCGCAAGGAACATGGTCTCGCTTGCTGTTTTTGGATTGCCTTCGTGCGCCGAAGTGACATAGGTTTGGTACCAACATCCCACTCAGTTCATCGGTGTTGTTTTTCCTTTTCTTTGTTTCCGGTCGAAAAGCTGGAAAAGATGTCAGTTCTTGCATAGTCAAATCAACCAGTGAGCTTCAAAAAGGCCAATTCAAAGGCTTGCGGGTGCACTTCTCATTCGGCCGATGAAGCTTGAATGGAATGGCTTCGTCCTTTAACCTTGCCTTTTGGTTCTGATCGTGAGCGGTTTTCAGCACTTTCCAGGTGGAATGGCTTCACCAATGTTTTTGGACTCTTCCACTTGCAACTCTTCTCTTTGAAGCGACCCCTTCCAAAGCCCTTTTCTCCCGCCAACGGGAGGAGTATCGCAGCACACGGGTGGCTTCGCTTGGCTCGCCCACACGATGGTCGTCGGTCGAACGAAGCGTGTAAACAGGCGGCCCATGGGCGTTGCATGATCTTCCGGCGTTGTTTGCTAAGGCGCCACACCGCACGCTCACAGATGACCAGACGCTCGGCTCCGTCCGTTCAGTGTCCGGGGACGGCGACGTTCAGTTGGGACGCCAGCGACCGTGCTCGTTTGTTGGGCTTCCAGTGCTCGTGGGGCAGTGTGGGGCAAGAGGCTTATAGGGCTCCATAATCTACTGGGTTTGGAATGATTTGTGGTCACCACGTTGTTGTTCGATGGTTCCCCAAACGTGTGGCCGTATTGGGGGCTCTTGCGGTAGGTGTTAAGGACGCTACATTCATGCAAGTTTTCCAAGGTGCATTTTGACTGCGCAGGCTCGCAGAATCTGGGGCGGGTGGGGCGTGTGCTTTCGTCAGCTGGGCTCTCTTGTCGGACTTGGTGGTCACTTTTCGTGGCAGGCACAAGGGAAACCTGGTGTTTTGGTGGTCTAAAAGCAACAGGCGGGTGCTGGAGACCAGAGCGGTTGATGCAGATTTCGTGGCAGGGGGGGGTATGGGGACATGGCTGAGACCAGCGGCGCGCCCAGATGTCGTGGCAGGTGAGTCGTGACCTCTGGACCTGTGGTTCGTCAGGAGTGGGACGTATTTGCTGCGAAAGCTGGACATGCATACTGCGAAACGCCTTGAGTTTGGCAGGGCTGCACTATGTAAACCTTAATGTGCAGATTTCTTGGCAGGCGCAGCACTTTGTGAACCGGGAAGTGCATGTTGCCTAGCAGGCGCAGCATTTTGTGAACTTTGAAGTGCAGATTGCGTGGCAGGGGGAGCGCTTTGTGAACCTCCAAGTGCAGATTTCGTGACAGGCGCAGCGTTTTGTGCTCCCATGTGCTCGCAAAAAAGTCATAAAGTGTACTCAAAGACCTTGCTGGAGTGATCGTGTTCACATAATGATGCGTTGCCTTGGGACCCATCAACTCTACAACTCCAGAGCTTTCTGACCTGTAGATCTAGCTTTCTGAGTTAGAGATCACTCTAAGCCTCGACCTTTCGACCCCAGATCTCTCTAGGCCTCGACCTTTCGACCCCCGACAGATGTTCTGTTCTCTCGCGCACTTCTCATGCAACACTGTAAATGGAGGTCCGAATTGCAGGGATAACTTCGCACTGCGCACTAGGACTGACAGGCCAGACTGGCCAGAGCGGACGGACCGCGGGGACGTTGGCGACGGCGATGACCGGTCTGAGCCGGCTGGCGCGGTTGAGGGAGGCCGGCGAGATCTTTGAGTTCCATTATGGTGCCGCTCGTTGGTCATTGGATTTGGCTGTGCCAAACTGGGATGTTCTTTTTCATTGTAAATGAACAGACTGTGACGATAGCTGACATTGGCACGGGAAACGGAACGATTCAAGGGACCGGAAGGGGGGAACAAGCAAACTGTTCCACAATTGTTTTTTCTTAGTTGCGTTGATCCTTCTTTCACAAGCTTGAACGCCACGGAATGGTGTACGAGGTCGAACAGTGCCGCAGACAGGAGAATGATACCAGTCGTCCTAAGAAAGGAACGTGGATTCTTTTGGAAACGTTTCCCGTTGCAGCTACATGCTTGGTGAACTGGACTGCTTCGAGGGGAATGAGGCACAACGAAGCCCCTTTCCCGTCTTCAGGGTTGGAGCCAAGCGGCCGAGGTCACACAGGCACTGCGGCCCAACATTGTGAGCAACAATGCCCAAGTGAACCTCGACGCCGTCGCGGATGAGTACGGCCACCATGGGCGGCACCTTCGAAGCCAAACTGTGCGGTGTGTGCATGTGAGGTGTCACATGCTTTAGCGCAAACCCACAGCAGAGAATTCAAAGAATGTGTCGTTTTTTTGGAGTGTCAATTCGTTGGAGTGTCGTTTTCCTTGGCCTCTTAACCCGGATGCGAGCTGTTTCTTTTCAAAAACCGCAGCCCCCTGGTAGAAACCTCGAAGCTTTGGGAGTTTTCAGGGTTCCAGGCGTCTAAGCGAGCTTTCCTTGGTGCAAGGGCGGCCGACCGGACTAGGTCATCACTCCGGTGGTGCAACTAGGCACTGCCCAAGTGGCACTAGGGGTGTGGAAGAAGTGTCAGGCCGATTTTTCGGGTTTCCATGAGGTTCCATGAGATGAAGAGAAGTTGCTGCATGGGGACTGCAGTGTGGCAGGGGTCTAAACTGCCCCCCCGTCTTCTTTTTGGGAACATGAACGGAATAGACCACTAAGGAGGTCACCAGTTCGGGTGATTTCGGTGAGAGTTTTCACGGTGCACTCGCTAGGAAGAGCGGTGTGGAAGAAGGAGAGTCCGTGCCTTGGTGGTGTTTTTCTATTCGAGTCCACGATACGAGACCGGGCGTATTCATACCGAGGAGGACGAAGCGATTTGGATACCGTCCTGCTGCATACCTTAGGTGGTTTGCGGGCGAAATGTCCCTGGTCCTTTGTTGCCTTTAAACCCGCTGTGGGGAAATGGGCCACCACCTTGGACATCCTCCTGTTCTCCGGATTGATGTGGCTACGGGATGCTACAGGTGGTCCGGGTCGTAGACTAGGACCAGGCTCTTTAGTTTGCAGGCTGATTTCATCATTGTTGTACCTCGCTTCATTTTAGCAATGGGAGCGTGCAACACCAGAGTTGTTTGCATTCTTTCTCTAAGCAATCACTGACAGGCTGGGCGCGTTTTTCAGAGCTTTCTAAAGTGAAACAGCGTGGAGAACGAAACACCTGTTTGCTCCCGGGAATCGTGGTGACGTGGGCCACCACCTGTTTGCTCTTCGGAAGACTCGGCATCCGAGTCGTCTTGGGGCCCCGGTTCTGGCTGAAGGCACATGTCGCTGAAAACGCACGCTTTTCCCGCCTTTGGTGTGCGTGGCGGGCGGGCGCGCTTGCGCCTCCTTGGAACCAAACGACGCACAAGTCAACGATGCTG